TGGGCATTGCGGCAGTTGAACTTGGACATGGAGACAACAGGCACTAACAGAGTCACTGGGTTACATAAGCTCGAGGAATTCAGGTTCCAAGCATTTGAGAGTGCTAGATTATACAAAGAAAGGATGAAACTAATGCATGATAAGCATATCTTGGATCGGAACTTCAAACCCGGAGATCTAGTGTTGTTATACAACTCGAGATTGAGATTGTTTCCGGGTAAGTTGATGTCCCGATGCTCAGGACCCTTCAGAGTGGTGCAAATGTTCTTAAGTGGAGCTGTAGAGATTGAATCAGAAGATGGGGCAAATAAGTTCACAGTGAATGGGCAAAGGTTGAAACATTACCTTGGAATGGCCGAAGAAAAAGGGGATAGAGTGGTAATAACTTTGGAAGAGCCCCAGTACGCGAATGAGGAATGATGATCAAAGCATGCGTCGTGCCGCGACGTTAAATCAGGCGCTGCATAGGAGGCAACCCATTGAAGTGTTGTAATCGTCGTGCCACAATATTAACTAAGGCGCTGGTTGGGAGGCAACCCAACGATAGTTGTAGTTGTTAATTGTGAGTTTTTACAAAGTGCTAGCCAATGCAGCTGACAATGGGCGGGTGATAAGGCCATCGACAGTGGTAAGAACAGGTGAAAAACATGAGAAAAAACTCGCCCATTAGCGCGCCCGCGCTACAGGCCGCGCTAATTGGGAGACATTCTACCTAAGCTCAAAATATTAGCGTGCCCGCGCTTGTGAACGCGCTACTGGCCGCGTTACTAGCGCGATCACGCTAGTGGCCGCGTTAATTGGGGAGTATTCTGCCTGGACTAGCGCGGCCGTGCTCGCACCGCGCTACGACCGCGCTAGTCCGCCCAAAATCTGACGATTAAAATTGTTTTTTTTCTTTTTGTATGTTTTATTTCTTTTCTCTCTTTTCCTTTTAATTTCCCCCTTACTCTAAATAACCCCAAACTAACACCCCCCCTTAATATCCAACCCAACGCCCAAAACCAATCATTCCCCAACCCTAACCCCTTCCTCTTCCACCTTCAATCCTCCTTCTCCAATCCCATCTTCTTACAAATTCCTAACCCCACCCCCCTCCACTATTTTCTTCTTCCCACACTCTCTCAATACAGGTATGTTGCCCTTGTTCCATTTTTGTCTTTGTTTTTGTTAATTGTTTTTGCAGAATTTTGTGTGCTGTAGTGTGCATTTTTGTAGTAGTCTTTCTTTGTTTTTGCATAGTAGAATTGGTAACATATGTTGTAGTGCTTGTGGGTGGTGAGTTTGATGGGGGTGTTGTTTCACTTGATTTGTGATTTTGGGAAGATTTTGTGGTGGGTTGATGTTGTAAAATGCTTTGAATGGGTTGTGAGTGCCTAATGCCCACAAGGTGTTTGTGGAAAGGCCTCAGTGAACGTAATTATGTAGCTTGTGACCACTTATGCGTGCGAAGTTTGAGTAACCACATTACGTCACAACTTTGTGTTGGGCTGTGCTAATATGGTCCCGTTTTGCACGTATCATGGCTCCATCACGGAAACGCCGCGCCACGGGTGCATCTTCTAGCAACCAAGCCGCCTCGTCCAGAACACAAGGGGCACCCCCTGCACGCTCCTTTGATAGTAACAGATTTGTCTCGGCCAAGGCTCAGGATCGCTTCGCGGAGAAGGCCACAAAAAATCCGATTCCGGAGAGGGGTATTGACATCGGTTCGGCCAGCTACACTGCCCTCATATGTACACGGAGCTGGTGAGGCGGGGGTTGCAAACCTTCATTAATGAGTCAGGTGAGGGCAATGTCATGGTTGTTCGGGAGTTCTACGCCAATGTGTCGGAGCATGACAATGGAATTGTCACAGTGCGCCGCAAAGGCGGTGAATACCTCTATTGAGGCGATTCGGACGGCGTACCAGCTGCCCCCTCATGTGGTTGATTATGATGACTTTTATGAGTATGGTCGTAACCCAACAGATGCAAAGTGGGAGCGATTCTTTGACGCGATCTGTGTACCCGGGAAAGAGGTGGTCTGGATGAAGTATGGTGAGAAGTTTCACTCATCGGCACTCACCATTGAAGGTAAGCGCTGGTTGTATCTGATTAACAACCGCCTGATTCCGTCCTCCAACAATACAGAGGTAAATGGGCCCCGAGTTGCTTTGATTTGGTGCTTCATCAAGGGTCTTGACTTCGATGTGGCCAAAGTGATACACGAGGAAATGTTCATCCGATGCCCAGTTAAAAGGTATGGGTACTTTTTCCCCTCCTTAGTTACTCAGCTGTGCAGGCAAGCTCGGGTGCCCGAGAATCTACGTGTGGATGGGCTAGAACAAAAAGACCGCACATTCCGGGCTAACAAGGTTACCATGAGAAGGAGCCAGCGGCAGCAGGTGAGGAGGATGGTGGTGGCTCTGATGACTCGGAGGAAGAGGAGACCGAGCAAGAGGATGTGGGGGCCGGATCACAGGCCCATGAGCACGATGCAGCAGTTGCAGCACCATCTGTGACTGTAACATCTTCTAGTGCTGCCCGGGTATCCCGTTTCACCGTGTTGGAGCAGGAGATGGCTGGGTTGCGTACCTCAGTCACTGATTTGGGTGCCCGCGTTGATGTGTTGGCTGACCGACAGGTGAAGTCGGAGAAGAAATTTTTGGGTTGGCTGAGAGCTCTGGGTCGTGCTTGCCATGTGAACCCAGACACCGTCTCCGACCAGGAGTGAGCCTTCAGGGAAGTTCCTTTACCTCACTGTTCTTTCAATTTTAAGCCATGGGGACATGTCTTTATTTTAAGTGTAGGGTGGGGGATACTTCATTGTATGTATGTAATTGTAACAATTGACTGTTTAATTTTGTTTTGTTTTGTTTTGCTTTGATTGTTTTGGTGTTGAGTAAGAGTTCATTAGTTTAAAGTAGGTAAGTGCCTTGTCCCGACGATGGATCTCTTTCGCCGGGATTCTTGAGGGACTAAGTCGGAAAAAAAAGGAAAATATGAAGACTCTTCCTGATGACAGATCCTTTAGACAATTTTCTTGAGGGAAGTTAGTCTAGAGAAAATATCAAAAAAGATTTTTATTTTATTTTTAGGTAGTGTAGTAACTCCCCCTTGATTTTTCTTTGGGCCACGGTTCTTTTCCAAGGGTTTAACTTGAACCGGGTATAGGTAGCTTTTGTTTTTGTCCTTTTTAGTTTTAGATTAGGATTAATGGGCTACGAGCTAAAATCGAAGGAAAAAACCCTTAGTGTTTTTACACCCGAACACAATAGACACTAGAGTGTAACGCTTAGCTTCAAGGGTTGAATCTTGTTTAAGTGCCTTCAAATTGTATGTTTGTATCTAACTTGAACACTCAAAAGAGAATGTCTTGATGTACTAATTCAGAGTGAGTCATGTGCCATGTGTGTGTGAGTTTTACTGTATTCCATGATTCACATTTGATGCCTAGAGCTTGCCCTGTGTGTTTGCAATGCGAAATAGTAATTTCATTCAGTTTTAGAAGTGATATAGGCATTTTGTTGTTGAGCCAGACATATATAGTAAACCCATCTGAATGCATTACATCTTAGTTAACCCCGTTGAGCTTACAAGCCTGTTTCTTTGGCAACCACATTGCGAACCTTACCCAATTGTTTGAATAGCCTGCTGTTTGAACCCTTTTACCTCCCAATAAGCACTTGAATAGTATTGACAATATGCAAAAGCAAAAGTGTGGGGTGGTGGTTTGTTTTTTGAGTGGAAAGGTGCTGGTTTTGAAGCATAAAAGAAGAAGCTCCACGAAAACAAAAACAAAAAGTTATAAATAATTATAGTGGTTGATAAGTGGTAGCTTGTACAAATTGCACCTAATGATGGGGGTGTTGTAAATCAATGTGGTGGAGTGTTTGGTTGGCATAAGTATGGTTGTAAAGGTTAATGTAATTGTATTAAAAGTGCTTAGGGAGGTTAGTCACTATATCCAAATATATCCTACCCGTCCCTTAGCCTACATTACAACCAAGTGAAGTCCAATTGATCTTAGACTGAGTGGGCTCAATTAGTAGAGTAGTACACTACGAGCAATCCTATGGTGCATCTTTGTGGCATGTGAATGTTCTTTTTGAGAGTGAGCGAATTTTGTCTAAGTTCCTAATTGTTCTAAATATCATTATATGTGGAACTACTCTCTTGTGTGAATATGAGGGCATGTGATTCATGAAGGAAAGGCAAGTCTTGACTTCTGTGTAGAGTAGCTTGAGAAAGTATGAATATTGCACGGCACGTGAGAGTTGACTTTTGAGGCTAAGATTGTTCACTACTAGGCGTAACTCATGTGATTTGTTCTGGGTGTGATGCGTTAGGGGATAATGTTTAGTGAAGGAACCTCTATAGAGTGTGGTGGATTGTCAAGGACTAGCAATGATTTAAGTGTGGGGTGTTGATAATAGGCTAGATTTATGTAATTTGGCGATTGTTTATGCTCCAGCTTGATTATGTTTCAATGTTATAATATAGTTAAATGATGAAAAATGGGCTCTAATTGTGAATTTCACACGTTGCAGGAGTGAGGAGCTTGTATGAGGCCTTAAAGCTATGATTGGAGCTACATTGAAGCAAGAAAGACCCCTAGGAGCTGAGTATGCAAGAAGACGAGAAAAAGAATAGCTGAAATAAAGGCCTGGACTAGCGCGTCCACTAGCGCGACCGCGCTAGTCCAGATGGTCGAGGCAGAATGTTTGAGAACTAGCGCGGCCATTAGCGCGCCCACGAGCGCGGCCGCGCTAGTCCAGCTCTGGAACATTAATTTTTAGGGGTAAAATTGGAAGTATGGGGGTAAATTCACTTAACCTATAAAGGTCAAGCTCGCCCAAGATTTTTTAGGCTTGTTTTTAGACTACTTTGGAGGCAAGAACAAGTGTGAGAAGATCAACCAAAATATTAGAGTTTTTCTATCTCTTTTATTTCTTGCAATTTTACATTATGAACAATTTAGTAGTTTTCTCTTATTTTGTTATGATTAGCTAAACTCGTTATCTAGGGTTGATGGAACCAATTGTTGATTGAAGTTTTGGCTCAACTCGTTATAATCGAGCCGGATTTATTATATGATTGTTCAACTACGTTTTGTATGGTGATTAATCGAATGGGCCCTTGATTAATCGTGTCTAATTACCTCATATTGCTTGAGAAAGAATATTAGGTTAGACAGCTATTGAACAACACCACTTTTGGGTAATTGAAGAGATTCATTACTTGAACTTAAAAGTGGGTTTAGAGATAACGAAACTTTGGTGGGATAATTTATAGCTGTACATATTGTCAGCCAGAGTAGTTCGAGAGAATGCTCTAGTAAATTATTGTAGTTGATCGAGAGATAATTACGATAACCCATAGCTCTTAATCCTCATAGAGTATTATGGCGAGATTATAGCGAAAGAGTCAAGACCTAAACTA